TTTATTCTGTGGTTGTTTGGGATTACTGACCGAGTGGTTTTCGAAGATGGTCCAGAATCTTCCGAATGACCAGGTGCGGGCGGGAGAATAGAAGGTGGGAATGTTCAGGTGTGCACCAGATATGTGGCTACCCATGCCCCGACTGTAATTGAGTAAAAATACCTGAATGTATACACAGAGAGCTCAGACAATATACAGTCCGTTTATTTTTTGTGTTGGTGTTCAATCTCGTTCCTAGAGTATGCCTGTTCGCGGGTTATGTAGTGGCACTATACATAACCAACGAACAGGCATAATCTGGGAACGAGATTGGTTGGTGTTATGTACTCAGGTGAATATGATGTTTGGGATGTTACTCTGAGTGTGCATCATAGATAGCTCATATGCATCCAACCATCCACACCGGACAAGGGGAAAAGTTTGCTTGACCAAGGATTTAATTCCCAACATGGTTATGAAAAACCTTTGTTTGGTTTTCAAAGGAAATAAATCAAAGCCTATATGGAAATAATCATCGCCAAAATTAATTATACAAAATTTACAATTTCTTTTCATACATTCTGCATGTACTTAACAAGTTTTGGTCTCTATGGTAAGATAATAAACACACGCACGTATTTTCAAACATGGTTATTAGAAATGAATTTCATTTACAACTATTAGAATTTTATTTCTTCTTACATTCGTAGTTTACTTACATTCGCACTAAATTCAACTCTATTAGTGACATATGATTTGCGTCGACTATTAAATGGGTGGCCGGACATTTTGCCGAAAGACACTTTGCCGAAAGACATTTTGCCGAAAGACTCTTTGCCGAACGGACATTTTGCCGACGGACGTTTTGCCGAACGGACGTTCTGCCAAACGGACATTTTGCCGAATGGACATTTTGCCGAACGGACAGTTTGACGAACGGACATTTTGCCGAAAATTGAGATATCTTCTGAACTTTAAAGGTTCGCTTACACGGTCAAAGTTTGTGTGATTAAAGTCATTGTCGATTTTGATGACAGAAACTTTGATAGTGAAGTATAGTTTCGTTTTATATTCTTTCAAGTTTTTGACAAGTTTACCGAAAATTCGCGATATAAAGAATGACGTCATTCAACATCATTCATGAATGTGATTTCCCCGAGAATTGTGAATGTATTCCATGATTCTCGAAGTGAAATTCGCTTACGTCGTCTTGATATACGCTTGTTTGTTTACGATCTGACGTCAAAACACGTTCCAAACAAATGAGTCATCCGCTGCACCAACAAGCTACCAATAGTCAATATGGTTATGCACTGCTAACAACCATTATGCACGGCTAATGACCATATAATGATTATTTTACACAATGGTTGAGAATTACACAGTTGAGAAATGAGTCACAGTCCCAAACATTTTGACGAAATAACATCTTTATTTTCGGCAAGTTGTCCTTTCGGCAAATTGTCCTTTCGGCAAACTGTCCGTTCGGCAAAATTAAATGATCTATTTTCTGTCCCTTTGACGGTTTGAATCATATTGTATTAAATAGATAGAGAACTTTATTATATAAAGTACAGTGCTTTATAGAGATCTTGAAAACTCATTAATAATTCACGAGGAAAAGACGAAGGAAATCATTGCCGTGTCGGTGGTTTTATATGTGATAAAAAATCATATTCATTTAGATAAACTTTTTTGCTTTGATTTTCGCGGATTAGACAACGTTTATTTTTAAAATTATTTCGCCAATGTTTAGATGGTTCGTTTTTTAAGCCATTTCAAACACTCGCAGTCCGTGCTTTATGAGATATAAAACAAAGAGTGCGATCTCTCGTGTTTTATATCTGATAAAACACTCCTGCTTGTGTTTTAAATAGTACCTCGAGCACTGATACTGATAATCTCACATGCGAGATTGTTTATGATAATTTCACATGTGAAAATTATCGCTTTTCAAAGACTGTCCTTTATATAATAAACATACAGAAACTTTTTGAAAATAAAAAATAATTATAGATAATAATATATATAAATATAATCCTACTACTTATTTACAATAAAACTACTAATAAATAATTATCCTACAACTCAAAATATTATTATTAGCATGACAAAATTACTGGTTGCTGATTGGTTGAGAGGAGTATAACTATTCCATTGATTGTACTGCAGTACAACTAGGGGCGCACCATTAGAAAAGTGATTGGAAGGGACATTTTCAATTGTACGAATATTTTTACCTCCGCCAGGTTATGTAATCATCTGGGTTTGTAGGTGTGTATGTGTGTGTATGTGTGTATGTGTGTATGTATGTATATGTATGTATGCATGCATGCATGCATGTATGTAAACTATGTATGTAGTGTGCCAAGACTCTAATGTCGATCTATTACCCTTGTCAATTATTTTTCCGTTTTTAAAATTTATTCTGTGGTCGTTTGCCCACCATGGTTCGAGATATTAGAGCCACTTTTGCATTTTTCCACGTTTCGTTCGTGCTCTTTTCTACTTTTTTTGAAGAACATTTGCCAGAACAATACCGCTTTTTGCTCAAAAAACTTTAAATTCTACACAATATATAATTAGTCACAAATCTTATACGTAGACGGAACTGTAGATAAAAAGCGGACGGATAAAAGGCGGACAGCGGAGCATTTTATAAACACGTAATTACTACCGCAACTAGCCTCACATCTGTAATATGAATATGTTTTCACGCGTTCGAATCCTTAGCAATGATTTTTTTAATCAGCATTCAATACATATGTATGATATAGGAGGCTATTCGCCGTCTTTCGCGTGAAACGTTTGGAAATATTGTTAAAAAAGCGCCTTAGTTTTGGTGCTTCTGTATACAGGGTGTATAAAAAAAAGCGCAACCTCGACTGAAATGTAAATTGCTAAACAAATAATAGATGAAAACGTTAAAGTTTACATTCATTTTAAAGCGTAGCCATTCAGCTTTCTAACAGTGGGTTGTTTCTTAAATTTGACTCATTGGTTCGCGGGTAAAAATACTTTACGTTATTGCGATTGGAGATTAAAAAAATTGAGATGGAATAACAAATCGTTCTCATGAAAATAACTGATTTTTTCATTAAAACAAACAAATGTTGCATTTTATTAAATGGATTGTAACAATAAGTATAATTACGGCTTTTCTTCCACTATTTTTAACTCAGTTTGAAACTTCAAATGCGATATAATTTTGGCTTGGACCAACTAAGCCGACTGACATCAACTTGCTATAATTTCTGCTTACATTACATCGCAATTCGATGACACTCTGGCTCAGACACCAGAATGTTTTGACGATTTTTAGCGTTCGTTTAGGATTTTCAAACAACCTGGTCTTTTTTAAAATACTTTTAATTTGTTCTTACGTGGTTTTCCAGATGTAGTGACGACAACATTAAAGTTTAAAGAAGAAAATTCTAACATTTAAACCGACTAAACAATAACATAGTAAACTTGCATAATTAAACAGCAACCAAAAATGATGGGTTTTACTAAATCTTTTCTTGTGCAATTATTACTAGCATTGGAGACAAGGATACTAGTTTGTTTGAAAGAGAAAAGAACAGGCTTTGAAGTAAGCCTAAAAGCGTTTAACTAGAAATAGTATTTCGAACGTTATTAAGCACAAAAGATGAATTGCGTTTATTTTGATACACCCTGTATAACTGCCCTAACACTGCCACAACCTCGTTCCCAGGCTCTTCCCTCTTGTTGCGCTTAATTGCTCATGCAATCTGAATCGTATATGAGTCTGTAAAAAATAATCGAATACGTTTTCCATGTAGTATTTACTCTTGAAAGAATGCAGTTTAATGCAGAGAGTTCAAATCGATAGTCAGGTAACGCGACCACGGAATGAAAACGTATGACGCGCCCGTACAATTCCTGACTACGAATTTCGCGCGTCAGATGAGGTGTGTGATTATTATTATTAGTTTAATAAAATCCATTTTGCAGCTAAAGCTGAATTGCATGGAAAGGATATTTACAATATTAAATATTAAAATTTACGTTAACAAATGTTATATACTTATTATTAACTACCTATTATGAAAATGTATTAATAAAATGTTAACTATATTTAATGGTAAAAAAGTTCTTTAATTAACCGTTCAGACATAATCGGTAAGAGTTGCGGATTATTATTACGCAGATCATAATTATGAGTTCGGTCTGGTAGACCGGATTTAACTATTGCTGTTAAAGTGTTGTGTGGCGAATCTTGGTCTCGAAGTGAGTTAATTAATTTCCTACATGCTTCTTCTCTTCTTGTACTCAGTAGTTTAATGTTACTTTTGTGTAATGCTTCATCATAAGATAGATGGGGATACGCGATTTTTAAAGCTCTTTTTTGCACCGACTCAATAAGGTCTGATAATGTCTTTGGAAGAGCGGACCAAACTGGTGATGCATACTCCAACTGGGATCTTATAACTGCACAATAAATATGAACAATGTTTAAAGGGCTCAATCCAGCTTTCTTTAATAGGCGTAAAGCATAGATGCGTGAATTCGCTTTCTTTAAAATTTTATCTACGTGTATATCCCACGAAAGATTGTTAGTCAACCACACGCCTAGTAGTTTAAAACTGGAGAATCTCTCCACCACATCGCCGCCTATAAAAATGTCATTTTCTACCAGTACCATTTACTTGGCAGCTTATTAAATTCGCTGCCCTAAACGTCGCCTTGCACGGGCATCATATTAAGTCGTTTCTGCGCAGGTTAAGCAATGTATAGAGGATAACTCTCGTTCATAAGTTGAGGATTTCCTAGTTATAACCACGCATTAACCTTCATTTCTTTCTCATGTGATCTTTTTGGACCTCCAGGAATTTTGCAGCACGTCCTGCAATCACCGACGCCATATCTTTAAAAGGCATTGCACTCTCTGACGGCGTCTTTGGTATTCCAAGAATTCGGCGCACGCGAGGAAATTTCAGGGATATATTCTGAAGCAGTCCAAAACTGGCTGATACACTCCAATACAACGACATAGCCTATCAATGGAATAAAATAGTTGAAATTTTGTACTTAAAACCATAAAAATTCACTACGAGAACTAGGATGAGGAATATATATTAGGAATCATGTATGATAACGTAGGTGGTCTTTTGAAAGCCGAAAACTGGCTTATTAGAGGTGGGCTTACAGACAAAGGGGTACTTTATGTAGTAATATAATATGCATGACAATTATTTCAATTCAAATACTATACAATGTATAATTAATGTGATGACAACAAGCGTGGAAGACAATCAGTGAATGTAATCAAAACAAGCGTAATTTTGTGCGAATAAAGGAAGATGGGGGTAGATAGAGTGTTGGGGCAATAAGCAAATTCCTTTCTTATAATGAAAGAGGTATAAGACATGCGGTCAGGCAGATAGGCTTTAGTCAGGCAGATAGGAGGGAAAAAACTCACCCCACCAGGGAGCAATTCTATTTTGCCTTCACCTTGTAAGTACATTTCTGTTTGTCGGCGGCGTTCAAATTTTGTCTGGGTTCCTGCCAACACGTCGATTTCTTCGATTTCTTCGACTACATATAAAGACATTCAAACGGTTACCTTGATTTTTCAACCGTTGTTCGAGTTAAATCCTGGACACTAGTCTGAAAACACCTTTTCAAAAGCTCAAAAAATTGCCTTATATGTAGTTTTTTTGTAAGTTTTCTAATGCTACAGGTTAATTTTTCTATAAACTAAGGAACCTGAAATTTCACGTTTTCAAAAATATAGGAATTTAATAGGAAAATCGAAGAAAAACGTGTTGACAGCAGCCCACACGACATTTGAACGCCGCCAACTGCATACACAAATGTACTTACCAGCCTTAAAGGCACAAGATGAATTCAAGATGAAATTGCCCCTCGATACTGGTGAGTTTTCATTTATTTTTTATCCTCTATCTGCCTGCCTATGAGTACGACACTACTCGCACAGAATTAAGAGTTGCTTCAAAAACAGCTGTGTCCACTGACAAAGACATGTACAGGTAAATTTATGGCCTTTATTGAAACATCGCTTCTTCTTCGTTTTTCCTACAAAAGAAACACCCCGGTCCGGTTGAATAGGCTTTTAAACCCCAAGTTATTCCTGTTTTATCGATTACATCTCAGTTGGTTAGAGTGCTGTACCGGAATCGCAGGGGTGGAATCGCAGGGGAATCGCATGGTGGCTTGTTTTAATACATCAAAATTATCCCGCGCCTTCCATCTCGTCCCGGTCAGTGAAATGAATATAACTGGAACGCGAACTTCAGATTAATCTTTTTCATGAAACCAAATCTGGTGGTCAAGACCCGCGTGTTTATGCTTCGGGATTCTCTCGCGATGCAGTTCAGGAACGAGCATGTCAATTTAAAAACTAAACTAGACTGAGACTGGCACTAGCATTCCAGTTATATTCATTTCACTGGTCCCAGCAAATCTGTAAATAATCATGTAGACAGACCCTAGTTTGTTCGAATCATAAGCATTGGTACTTAAAAAATAATGTCTTCGCGCTCGTGGTGCACTTGTTGCGCATGCTCGAGGCACCGCACTGCAGTAGTTTCATGTCTGGTTCTTTTGCCAGTTTTGCATAGAAGTAACCAAACAAATTGGGAAAGTCCCAGAAATCCACAAGATCGCGATAAAAAGATAAAAAGGTACACTTACTGCAGGCATTTTGAGAGCAACCACAATCATACAAAGTGACAACAGTCGAAAGAACATAGTGAACGTTCGTTGTTTTAACGCAGGATCTTTCCTCTTGAGTGCGTGAAGCTATATCGAAAGAAAACAGACATCAATAGTTAACTGACATACACACATGGCTTCCATTTGTCGTAAAGGCAAAACCTTCCAGTTAAGTGTTTTTCATACGTCCGTACACGCAAGGAAAACTTTAATTCCGTTTAAAAGTTTCTTCTTCGATAATTAAATGAATAAAAGGACAAGAAATATATAAACTTTTCCGTGCATATGTACGTATGAAAAACGGTTAACTGGAAAGCAGTGTTGGCCAAGTGAGTTTAACAGTGAGTTTAAGCAGTGGTTAACAGTGGTGACCAAGTGAGGCCATGCTTATATTTATTTTGCAAGATTACCGATTTCCCGACTTTGTTTTTTCATGTGTTCCTTTCTTCCTTATCCGACCATATTTTAGAAGCCGTATTAGTATTAGTTTTCTGAGCGAGACATCCATGCGATAATATAAACTAAACCTTTAACACGCGGCTGTCACTCGCGGCCACGCGATGTGACCGATCGTCTACACTTTCTGGCCTGGAGGTGTTTCTTTTTATCTTTTTTATCTATTTTTATTTAATTGATCTGAGCTAAAAGAAAGTTGAGAAAACAAGAATGAACTAACCCCGGTTATAGAGCGGATCGTTTCTTAACAAATTTCTGTGGAACTGATATATGCAGATTTATAATCAATATAACTATATTTTATCATTCATTACAAAATAAATGATTAATTTGAAGAAGTATTTCAACAGCGTTTTGTTTTTCGTAATCCGTTTCTGTTGATGCAAAAACTTCCTCATCCTTTGGTCTCGAACAAGTGTTCTACAACATGAGTTCTGCATTTTCTAACACGAAATTTTTCGATCAAAAAATAGATTTAAAAATTTAGATCTGATCACATGCAAATTAAGGCATGAAGTCCTAAACGCTTACCACTGACATCTTTCGTGCGTTTAACTGAAGAAAATTCAGTGATGGTCTACTGATGGACCTTCCTTGCTGAGGGGGGTCGATCAGTAGATATTGTTATTTATCCAGAACTCACTTTATTAGCTAGATATACAATGATAATTAAAATTACCAGATTCTACTGCTAAAGCATGCATTCATGAGTCACAAATTTGTTACAACTATATTGAACTATGAGCAACACAAGCAGTGACTAAGACTTTATAGCCTAACAGAATTAGATCAAAGTTGTAGACATTTTGCACGAATTTATATTTGAAGAAGACGAATTTTAGCAGTCGGATCTAAGACAACCGGCAGTTTACACTCAGATATATAAAACCTATAAATATGGAGATTACCGGCAACTAATAGAGTGGACGAGTTTTGGTAGAGTGGAATATTCGAACGCAAATTTATATACATTTTTAGACGTAACGAGGAGCAGTTGTGAATAATGCAACTTTGCCATCTGGCAGGAATCGAACCTGCCATTCCGATGCATCCTCTAACCAACCGAACTATACACAATCAAGTTGCTGACTGCTAACCACAAATGCATGTATATACTGTATATGATGCATGTTTCCTGTTGCGTTTGAAATTGATCGAAATCCTGAAATGTTGCGTTCGTCGTCGTGTCTAATATTGAACTAAGGTAACATTTCCCAATTACCCCTGATAAGGATAATCGCCAGATCTGCTTTTCCCTGGGTAGATATCAAAACCCTTCCCTTGCAGATTCTTATCCAAGTAAACCTTACAACAGAAAACAACAGAAATCCGCAGAAGTTCAATTTAACAAACATTGGTGATAGTGTACCTCTATGTTTGCAAGATTTGCCACACCCAAAAATACTGGCAGCATTCCTGTGTAGTCAGGTAGTGTTAGATCTGGAAACCACAAAGCTCCTTCTTTAGACATATCAGGGTGTGGTGGGAATGGATTTTTGTCTGAAAAAGAAATGCAAATATTGATGCAAAATAACAATAATTAAAAATTAAAGATTTTATATCTCAACCGATATGTTTTTGTCCTCGTCGGTAAAAATTTTATAGATTGCAATTCCAGAAATATGAATTTAAAGGCAAAGAGTGTAGGTAAATTCAGAATTTGTATATGCCACGTACAAAGATAATGAATTGAATTGCTACACAACACAATAGACATTCATCTGGACAGTGAGCTCCATATATATCTGGAACGAGGACTCGAGTCCAAGAAATGAAGTCAAAGATGGAACTATTAGACGTTAGTTTTCATTGTTTTTGTTTCCGCGGTCTTCAAGGAGTATGCTGAAATTTCGAATTTTGGACTTCGATTTAAATAATCATACTATGGGTTCAGGGCTCGAAATAACGTTCCCAACGTTCCCGATCATGGTGATCGCCGATCACGACTTTTTAACGATCAAATAAAAATCTGGCCGATCAGGAGCATTTGCCTGAGTTTCTTTGAAAAAAATTCTAAATGTGCCAGTTGAATACACATCTGAACAGGACAGGGCTGTACGCAGGATTTTTTCACCAGGGGGGCAGTAAGGCCTATATGCCGAAAAAAGTTCCAGATATCAAAATAATAATTAATAATGACATTCTAAAAATCGTAAATATAGCCCTGTGTACGGCCCTGGAACAGGAAGTTTAACTTTATTTCAAATTCAAGTTTAAATGGCTACGATATTTGTTTATTTAACTTTGCCAATAAACATTAAAACACAGAAAATACATATATGGACAATGGCAGGGAACACGCTACAGCTTACGCCAATTACAGCGGCCCTTACATATAAACACATTAAACTAATAACAACACGATACTTCACAGGACAGATTACGGGACTTGTTACAGGACAAACATATTGATTTCCATGTTCTTGGATCATCCACGTCGTAGACCGTTTGTAATGCTACTTTATAGTACATAAAAAGTCCATTTTTTAACTGACTAAGGCTGGTGTTATTGCCTGTCAAGTTCTTTGTTAGTACATTCCACATTCTGGTACATCTATTTAAATAGGACTTTTGGAATGTGGTTGTCTTGCATCGTGTTGTCGTGAATGACAAATGGTCAGGATCGGATGATCTTGTTTCCCTTTGGCTGTTGACACTTGTTGGTTGAGGCAGGAAATGTTCGTCAATTCTCATGAGTCCACGAATTAGTTTGTAGAACACAACCATGTCCAGGAATTCATGCCAGTAGCTCAATGGAATAAGCCCTAAACGTGAAAGTCTCTGGTTGTATGTAGTTTCACAACGGAAGGGTCGATCCAAGACGTACTTAGTCGCGCGTCGTTGAAGTCTTTCTGTGCGTTGGATTAGATTGATGGTTTGTGGTGCCCAGATTTGTGAACCATAGCATAGCTGCGTACGAACGAGAGCCAAGTATAGAGTGCGGCGAACTGCAATGTCTTTGATGTCGAACGTTGATCTACGAATGTATCCTAGGGTCTTGGAGGCTTTGGCGCACTGGTACTCGACATGTTTAGACCAAGTCAGGCTAGATGAGGTTAATATCCCAAGATCACGCTCACTGTCCGTGCTTCCTAGAATGGTGTCATGCAGCGTATACGGGTAGATGATTTTGTTGTGCTTACGGGTGACTCTTAACACTTTGCATTTGCTTGCATTTAATTCCAGGTTCACGTTGGTCGAGCCTTTCTCAAATTTTGACAGGTCACACTGCAGAACAGCTGCATCAGAGATGGAATTGATGGTCTTGAAGATTTTGGTATCATCAACAAATGTAGCAATGTTTGAATTAGTCACAGCATTGGGAGATGATTCTCGTACAGCAAGAACAACAACGGACCGAGGATGGACCCCTGTGGCACTCCTGATGTTACCGGGAGTGGTTTCGACGTTGCTCCGAGAACGGTTGTTTGCTGGTATCGATTGGTCAGATAAGAATTGAACCAATCGAGAACGCTCCCTCTAAACCCGAATTCGCGAAGACGATGTATTAACTCCACGTGACTTACTCTATCGAACGCCTTCGACATGTCCAAATAAAGTACGTCAATCTGCCTGCCGCGATCCAACTCACGGCCTATCTGTTCGAGAACTTCAATAAGCTGAGTGATGCACGATTTCCCAGGCATAAAACCGTTCTGACAAGGATTTATATGCTCGTAAACGTGATATTTGATGTTATTGAATATACAACGTTCGAGAACCTTGGAGATGAGTGATAGCAGCGAAATTGGTCGATAGTTTTCGACGTAAGTCTTCTCTCCATGTTTATGGACAGGGACCACGTTTGCAAGCTTCCAGACACTAGGAAGAACACCAACACGTAGAGACTTGTTAAATAGTGCACAGAGTGATGGGGTAATCTGCATGGCTGTTTCTTTCAACAAACGAGCTGGAATGTTGTCTGGACCTTGTGCTTTATTGCTATCTAAGTTCATTATCACAGCCATAACTTCTTCCTCCGATAATGCAATGTTATCAATTGTAATAACTTGTGAATGATCTTGGCGTTCAGAATTACTGTCAGAGTCAGACGTAAAGATGGAAGCAAAATATTCATTAAACATATTCGCTATGTCTGTGTTATTATCCGCATGTAGTCTTTCATTGTCGTTTTCCTTCATTGAAACTTTCCCTGGAATGTTACTGACTTTCGATTTTGTCTTAAAAAAGGAGTGGAGTTAGTGGAATTTGTGGAGTTATATATACAATACTAATAGTGTAACACTTTTCAAGTTTTAATTATTGCATTTTTCACACAAAAGCAAGAAACACAGCAGCATTATCAATTAAGAACTAAAACTTATTATTTAATATTGAAAGAGAAAATCCTAATAAAAATCCTACTAAAAAATCTTATCAATTTGAAATTTTAATATTATAACAAAAACGTTCGTCGTCAATGGTTTTGATTGCAAACTGTTGAAGAGACAATACTTCATGCAAATTTGTTTGATAGTAAATTACTTTACAGCGAGAATAGTATATTGACTATTGTAGCCTTTCCTGTTGTATGACTCGTATCAACTAAACTAAACGATCGATCTAGTAAGTTCATTGGCGAAGTAATTTTCAAAAAATATATTGTGTAAGTTGAGAAAATCAAAGTTAAAGTTTATGTAAATCAAGGGAAATCTCTATCACATATAAAGATACGACACGCTTATGATTTTTCTTTGTGTTTTCCTCATGAATTATCAATGAGTTTTTGAAATTACTTTTATTTGCCTTTTACCGCGTACAGGTATAAGCATGTTTTTCAGGCAATGGTCAAATATATTTATGCCAATCAAGATGAACGGCAACATTGCTTCTTCGGCGATCAAAAACAATTTCCTGCCGATCATTGATCGTTGATCGTCCGTTATTTCGAGCCCTGATGGCAGGGCCTTTTTTAACATACAAGCTGGGGGGGGAGGGGGCGAATGCCCCCCCCAGTCCCCCCTTGTGCCCCCCCCCACCACCACGAAATCACATTTTGCCCCCCCCCCCCAGGAAAAGTCCCTTTTCCCTAAAATTATAGAAAGAAACCAGTGAAGATTAACAAATACATAAACAGAAAGTAAGTTTTAGGCTTTATCCTTTGTCCTTGTTTAACAAAATCGATTTAAATTGTTACTTTTTTCTACCACTAAGTAATGATAAATTATTGTTAATAATTTTTTTATTTTTTGGATGCTCAGAATGCAGAAAATAGCATTTCCGGGTTTCAAATTTCAAATATTTTCTGGGGATTATCCCTCTAATAAGTAATGATAAATGATGGTTAATTTTTTTTTACTTTTTGTGCGTTTTTTCCTTTATTTATTTCAAATACAAGTATAGTTAGCATAAATTTTGGAGCAAATTTGGATGCTCAGAATGCAGGAAATGACATTTCCGGGATTCAAATTTCAAAAATGTTCTGGGGGAGTACTCCCCCAGACCACCCCCATTCATGAGTGGTATATTGGCGACACACGTAGCCTTCAGCCATTGCTATCCCCCTCTAATATATTATATCACAGAAAAGTCCCTTTTCAAAAAATGCCCCCCCCCCCGGAAAATCCTTAAAAAAGGCCCTGCCTGATGGTTTTATAACCGGATGACTTGATTAGCGATACGATCCGTTAGAAAAAGCTGGCATTACCTGGGGAAAATGGTAGGCTATTAAAACTATTTGTTCATAGCTATTGGGAGCAAGTTCAGCGATCTTGGCTTGAATAGGCCGAATGACTGAAGTTCTTGCTGCTCTCAATATATAAAGAGCTTAGATCAAATACGACTCGACGAATTGTGCATGTTAATACATGGAATACAATAGTCAACGAGCCTTGTCGTTTTAACTTGTGCAATTAAATCAAGTTAGTACCCATGCCTTTCCCCCTCTTGCCGACTAGCGATTTTCCAGCCAGTTCGTTCTCAAACGCCCCTTGCTTTGTACCGTTTTCTGCCTATTAAGGGCATTCACTAATTTTACACGCGCCAGGGCCCAAGAAAAAAGTTTCTGCATTAAAGATTTCTATAAGACGTATGGCTACAGGTCAAACAAACATTATGTGAATATATACCCGCAAAGCGCAATTCCTTTTCATCTTTGCTAGTCTAATAGCAGACAATTATGCTCGTTAAGTACAGTAGTAGCTAACGGTGTTGGAAATCGGAAAATATAATTATATCGCTGTATTACATTAAAAACCTACTATATAATGACAATAAAAACATTTCTAAATAGAAAGCCTGCAAAGTATCTGGTTCAATCGTTTGTAAAGATATCATAATTATTTGTCAGGTATTGTAATACAGTAATGCTCGGCTTAGACGCCGTGCTTTTCATACATAATACAATGAATTTAGTACATGCGTCTAAATCAATAAAACACTGCACTATTAAGCAGGTGACACTGCCCCTTTAAGCACGGCTAAATTAATAAGTTCGCGTGGTTCAGGCGTGCTACACGGCTGAAGCACATGTCAGTTTATACTGCCGTGCGAAACATGAGCTGTACCAAATGCATAAATTATGATAATGAAATATTTTATTATATGTGACTCGCCCCAGTATTTGCAGCGAACGAGCGCTAATTAACGGCTTATGAAAGCACGCCTTTCGCCTGTCTAAAAAAGTACGCCCATTTTAGTGGACTAAAATATGAATTAAGTTCGGCTCATGTAAAGCACGGCGTCTAAACCGGGCCTAACTGCACAAGGGTAAAATAATAAAAAACGTATATTAAGAAAATAAACAAATGAATAAATATTTCTCGTGAATAAATACTGAACCATACCTTTTGAATCCCACCTGAATGTTCCACTAAGATTTCTCAACGCCAATGATAGAATGATCCACAGTGGTATTTGCGCCCACGGTAAAGTATAAAGCTTGATAGGGTTACACCCATTTGTGCTGTATAAATCATACGTGTATTTTCGAAGCTGTAAAATTAGAAAATTTTGCACATAATATCAGAACAAAAACCCACAGAGATTCAAGATTGTTGGACGGGATATTATCGGGACTGCTAACTGGAGCATTATGGTTGCTTGATGTTGACGTAGGCAGCAGATGATTTGTTTGGTTGTTGGTCTAGACAACCAGGGGGCCGTAGGGACACTTGCCCAGTTTTGAGATCTAGTGTCTCTGAAATGGCATTTCTTCTTTTGGGGGAAGATTTGACGTGTGGGAACTATGTCATTTGGCAACGCAGAAGCTGACACCATTAATTAATTTCTCCATCTCTTGGGAAGGGGTCAGCTCAACACATGGCACCATCCAGCATTATAATATAGCATTTGTAAATTCTGATTTTATAAATGGCTAAGAGCCCTGATGACATAACTCAATTTCAACACGGAAAATTTCTTTCTTTAATTTCTTTGTGCTATATTATAAAAAAATATAAAACATTTTCCCGTATTGATATACATGCAGTTATATCAACACTCGTGGAAATTGAGAAAACTCGAAATTGTATGAAAAAGGGCGTCGTGTTTCCACACAATTTCTCGTTTTCCCAATTTCCACTCGTGTTGATATAACCGTACATCAACGCGGAAAATGTTCTATAATTGTTAAATATCACACAACCAACAACCAGATGATCTTGATACGCGGAAAAGTACTGGCACTAGTTGTCAAATAGAAATCCATTTTATGATTAAAACAACTGAACATCTCCTGTAATATACTTTATTTCGATTCCATATTTTTGTCAGAGCTATAGTTCTCATAACCAAACATAATTACAAAATTTCAACTAGTTTCATAAAGAATAACGAAAGATATAATTGACTGATGAAAATGGATTTCTATTCGGACAACCCTTTCTGGGCGCTGATTGGCTAAAATACGAACACGAGATCACCTGGAATGTTGGCCGATGTTGGAAATGATTCGATTGAAATTGCGTTGTACATGCAGGCATTCACCATACTGTAGCAAGACAATGGACTCTCACTCGCCTATAGGAACATGGCTGCTTCCCTTCCCTGTGTATATACTCGGAAGATGGATAGTGCTTTTCGCGCAATTTGATTGGCTGAGCAGCTCCGCATATCCTTGCACTATTCACTTCCGGACCAAACAAAATGTCTTCCCGTTTTATTTGGTTCATAGACGAGCAAATTGCCAAATTTTTTTTCGAAACGAATGTTTATTTAACAGTTTGCACAGGTATTGTTTAAATATATTCCTAATGTATAAAATGATTAAAAGCTGTCAGTCAATGAACGTTAATTCCAGTCAATGAACGTTAATTAAGCGATGAATATCTAAACTTACGGACAAAAATCTTTGAGGTATCGAACCTGCAGCTCGGCGATTCCGGTGCAGCACTCTACCCAACTGAGCTACAGAATCCAGTTGTCGAGCTCTAACCACAAGTTCATGTATAATACTGAGGTGATGCCAATGTAAGGTGTATGGGGAAATATCAGCATTTATACCGTAGGGCCTATATGTAGTTACATTTTTCGCAAATGCTCCTGGTGAGGTGTAATAAATGTGTAAGATTCACACTTGAACTTTCCATCTACAAATCTCTTCAACAATTAGTACTATCGAGTGCCGAGCTGCCGAAAATCCTGGGGCCAGTTGTAGTCAGGTTTAACTACCGTTACGGTAGTTAAATCCTTAACCACATGATTTAAGTGCGTTGCACAAAATTACATTAAGTAAAGTGTGATTAACGACCGCTGACAAGTATATTGAACATGATTGTGGACTCGCATTTTGCAAATATAGGCGGAAATTTGATTTAAAAAAAAATAAATAAATAGGAAATCAATTAAAAAGTCAACGAAGAAGGCACGTTTTTCCGTGAGATGTCCAAGTTAAACCAAAATGTAGCTGCTTGGCAATTATACCGGGTGTCCAAAAAAACCCGGACACTGTTTGATTTCATGTAACGTAAAAGCAATATCGCAATGAAATAAAGATCATTGCATTCAGAAACGACTAACTTAGGTTTTGATATATAACACTTGAATTTACATGCAATATTGAGCGTTACAACTGTTTGAATTTGGATAGCTTTTATAACTTTTACGTTACATGAAATCAAACAGTGTCCAGTTTTTTGGGGACACCCGGTATATCACTGTTTCAGGGGTTAACATTTTTTCACGACACTAAAAAAAGGGTCAAAAAAATTTTTCCGGACTAACATACAAACTTACAGATATTTCATAGCACACTCCCTATCGGGGCTTTTCAGTGACTAGTTACATTATGAATAGATAGATAGGACGTGAAGCAGACCGAGGTAGACTTTGAGCTTACAAATGGCGCTTGAGCAGCCGCTATTAAAGGAATACCGAATGGTTTTCTGTGCAAGATTGCGTGATCCATGCACGAGGGATGTCGCGAGACTTTCGAAAAGCGTAAAAATACTCGAGCCGCAGGCGAGTGTATTTTTACGCTTTCCGAAAGTCGAGCAACATCCTAACTGCATGGATCACGCTATCCTGCTTGGAAAACCATTTGGTAATTGTTCTATAAAATAACTACAGTGAAACAATGACATTTTGAGAATCCCGCGAAAATCCTGCGAATGCATTTTAATTCCTCGTGCAGGATAGCCTGATTCTGCACGGCTATTGACCAATCAAATTGCGTGTTTCACTGTAGTTATTATATAATAGTCCATACTTCATTAATGATCTGCCTCCAGACCTATGTGCCTAACCCACCCTGTCAACTTTCCCTGTGGGAGGAAACACGGAGTACCCGGAGAAAACCCACGACTTTCAGCAGAGCGTTGACTTTTACTCTTTTCACATGAGGACTGGGTTCGAGTCACATTGAGAAGTTCTCACTGAGATTTGAACCTACGGCCGTAGAGGTGAAAGGCTTGCAATGCGCTAACCACATCGCCACCGAAGCCCGTTAAGGTACAAAAAAATTTTCCCTCACATATTCTTCTTAAAACATGCTGTTAAAACCTTTTTTTGCAGCAATATCTTCAATATTTAGGTTTAGAAACTTTTTTCAAAAAAAAGTTCTATTTGCCAAATTTGGGTCCACCCTTGCACAACTGTCTTATAATTTTCCCTCTATTGAAAAGTCTCTGCACGAATTTTTTTTTTTTTAACTTTTTTCGTGCTCGAATTTTATTTTTTTTCTGTTTCCCCTGCTCGATTTTTAATTTTGCTTTTGCCCCATCACTTTTCTAATGGTCCGACCCTAAGTGGTTGTTATACCTATGGGAATTTAAAAGAGCTTCTAAAACGACCAGCAGCACAAAAATGTCAAATTACAAATTCGTCTTACCATCAGTTCGAGTACGAATGGTTCAACTGACTACAGAGCAACGAGTATTCGTCGTAACAACTTATACGTTAACGCGAAGTGTAACCGAAGTGTTAAACTATTTGGACAAAGGCAAGTTGTAAATACTTCTGCCGTTCCTGTACAATTAAATTAAATTCCCAAAGGTATAATAACGCACAAGAGTGTTTCTAAACGGGAACAGCTTGTATTTACCTGCTTCTTGAATACTTTATTGGCTGCCTGTGATGACAATCCTTTATTTCTTGATTCGATTGTGACACGATGCTTCAGTGCTTCCGTTAATTCTTTCAATGTAGGTTGCAGTAATTCTATCTTGGTGATGAGTTTATTCTGATACACAGCCAACGGCAACGTAATCACAGACCGCAGTCCAACACAAGTCAGTACAATTGTACACCACCAAGGCAGATTGGTATAAGAGTGCACAGACTCCAGGAAACTCTGCGCCAAAGATATTGGTAAGTAATCCGAGGTATGCTCAGCGACAGGTGTTTCAGAAAAATGACGTCTTAGAGTCAGTGAAGTTGGTGGAAGAGAGTGATTAGGTGATGTCTGAAAAAAAATGAAAAGCTTGTTAGATCCAGCTTGACAAATGCACGGTCGACAGAGCGTATAGGAACAGGTAAATCAAATCATTAATAATTCATGAGTAAATTAGCCAACCATATTGCTTTATTTTGCTGATATATCCAAGGACTGGATCAAAATTAATTCAGTCCTTGGATTGGATCAAAATTAATTGGCCTTCCTCACGGCCGATTCCCCCTCCCCATTTTTGGGGTACCGCCTCTCCCACGTTTGAGAGTCTCCGCACCACGAAATACAACTTTTTAGTATTGTAGTTATTTGTATGATGGTAAATTTACACTTTTCACGTTGTTTATAATGAATTGTTCAGAATATTTTACGAGGGCAAACATGTACAGTACCCGAAAAATGGCGGATTTTGACCTTCGTGAAAAAGGCTAATTCACTTCACTTTGAGTAGTGACATTTTCGTATGAGATGTACGTCATTTCAAATCCTCCAGTTTGGATTCGACTAGATTTCAAGTCCTCATGCACATGTTACGAAGCGTTAAACCTGGATTACACATCGAATTTTTTCTTGCGACGATGTAACAGGACATATACTCCCGGGTCATATTTCCTAGGAAATACTGTATATGTCATTGGATTAGGCAGTAGAATTGTAAAATCACTTTTTACTGTAAGGAAAGAATGGCAAAAACTGATTACATGGGTCATTAACCCTTTTTGAATAATGCCATGTCATTAATTAAACATGTGACCAAACCAACGTACACTGTAGATTTTACACAAATTTAAAAATTCTGCGTCGTACTAGATTTATTATGTTCTCGCTTGAGCTTAACATCCCTGATTTATTTCAGATTCCTTAGTTCATGTACTTACGGTTACAGCTCAACAGCTGGCCTCAGTAGCTCAGTTGGTTAGAGCGCTGCAACGGAATCGCAGGGCCGTAGGTTCAATTCCTACCAGAGGACCTTGTGCTGCATTTTTCGCAGTCGTTCCTGGTCAGGTCTTAAAATGTATATAAGCACTTGGATTACAAACCCTAACATTCTAATATTAATTCCACCAAGTGAAGTGCAAGAAACCACATCATTCAATGATAAGTGTACCATATTTTGTTTTTACAATAAGGATATGATCCTTTGTATGAAAACAGTGCTGTTAGCCAAAACTGCAAAGAGACCGTTTTTATTATTCAGGTAATTGCATCATAACCACAAATCTAATAACCTGTTAAGCCACATTCTGCCCTGATGGCAGATGATTTTACTGATTTTAATTGCATCCGGAGTGCCAAACATAGTGGTCCGTTGTTAATACGCTACGGCAAACCACTCTGTTATAGTTATACACAGAAACATATTCAGTACTGGTCCATAGTTTTAAGCTAGTTAGTATGTTACAGCAAGTCACTCCATTATAGTGTAAACACTGCCACAATATATAGTCTCAATATTCAAAACATAGTAAATTTTTAATGGATCGAATGTTAGCCGTAGGGTTATATAGTGTAAACACAGCCATATATAGTTAACCAAAGAAGAAAATTCAATCTCAAACCCAGCACTATCCCTGGGTTAAATTAAAGCTGCTGAACATTTCAATTTGTGTGTTTAACTGCACAAGTCTTTGCTCAAAGTCTGTTCATTTCAAAATTTTAGAAAGTAAAACTTCAATAGAACCTGACAACTAAGATGTCTGGAAAAATATTTTATTTTCCAATTTATAGACAATCTGTTCAGAAACTAATGGTTTGCAATTTTTCGTTGACCCAGGATTAAACTATTGTCAGAATTGAAAGAACCCACACCATACTTACCCCACCATAATTATAAATGTATGAGAGTCGAATTCAAATAGAAATGTATACTCTTAAGCGCACTCCCTAGTGGTTTAATTGCTGCATTGTTGTTTTTCTGATCACGATCAAGATCTTGGCATGCTCGTGATCATTCAATGTTCCATCTTCAATGAGTAATTCTTTCATAAAAATGCGTATATTTATCAATATTATACCTCAAATTCAAATTGTCCAATCAGGAAGCTTAGTTTGTGGCACGTGAGCATGAAATTAATCGCGATATCACGCCTTACGTCATCAATTAGGGAGCCTGCGTTCCTTTTGACAATGTTCCCCCCATGTTCCCCGGGGAACATGGGGTCACAGAATAGTAAGGTACAGCAGAAGTGTAACTCGAGCAAGTATTTGTCCGCGCTTTTACAAGCGATTCGTCATCAATCACGCCATCCTGGCTAGTATAACTGGCACTTTGTATCTACCAAAACCTGATAAAAACTTCCGGTTGTACTAGCCAGGATGGCGTGAGCGAGTTAAAATTTTCGTGGACGTAAAACAATAAAGGAAACGACTCAAGTTACACTTCTGCTGTTCCTTCATATTCTGCGATGGGGTGGAACATTATTCGCGCAGACCACGCGAGCAGGGTTGCCAGTTTGGCGTTAAAAGAGCCAAATTTCTCGATTTTGGCTTCTTTTGACTTCGTTTGGCTACTAAAAATTTCGTTTGGCTTCTTTCTATTTTTTGGCTCTTTTTGGCTTCTTTTTGAATAAATACTGAAATAAGCAACTTTTCAAAAATAGCCTGCCATCCATCAGTAAAAGTTAGTTATAAACTCTGCTATGTTCGATTACATTATCCATTTATCCGGGATTCCGGATGTACGTAAATATTCGATCGGAATTAGTACCCTCTCCCTGGGTTACGCGGTTCGCCCCGAACGGCGGGAAAACGAAAATGATAAAATACTCGTTTTTCTTTACTGTTTTTCGGTGTTGAACGCTTGAAGTCGGAAGATTTACCCTAAATTTCGATTCTGGCTTCTTTTGGCCGGATTTGGCTACTTTTTACGTTGCATTTGGCTCTTTCGGGCTCAGACCACCTGGCAACCCTGCTGACGCGAGACAACACGCATGACAACAACATGGCCGACAAAATATAAATAGTATTGATGAACGATGAATAATCAAAATTTAAACGTAAAGCCTGGGGCTTTTTCAAAATTTTGAAGCAAATTTTGAAAAATGTTGTCATTAATATTCCAAACGATATGTGATTCGAAAGAAAAGCGAATATACTTGCGTTAATTTGAAAGTAAAACATCTTGTTTTTGATGTTTTTGTAGCTATACTTGCACTATTTTAGATAAATATTTATCGACATAGAGTTCCCAAGAGAATTTATAATATTAAGCGTATTTTATAATTTGTATGTTTTAATCGATCTTCTCAAATTCAAGTTTGAATGCCACCTTTAATTTTAGCATTTAATCATCGTAACAATGTCTCGTCAATGGTAAGATAAATGTAAAATTTTAGCAAGATCATTGATAACTTCTGGCCTGGTAAGATCGTAATCATACATGGCTGGATTTTGAGAACCTGCAGGATTTTTGGCAAAATCATGGCAGGGACATGACAAATTTCTGCAATATCATAACGATATCATGGTAAGATCCTGCAGGATTGCAGAATTGACAGCAAGATCTTCGTAAGATCATGGCAAGATCTTCTTAAGATCATGGAAATATCATGGCAATTAGTTCTTCATAAGATCATGGAAATATCATGGCAAGTTCTTCGTAAGATCTTCGTAAGATCATGGCAAGATCTTCGTAAGATCATGACACGATCTTCGTAAGATCATGGGAAGATCTTCGTAAGATCATGGCAAGTTCTTCGTAAGATCTTCGTAAGATCATGGCAAGATATTCGTAAGATCATGGGAAGATCTTCGTAAGATCATGGCAAGTTCTTCGTAAGATCTTCGTAAGATCATGGCAAGATATTCGTAAGATCATGGGAAGATCTTCGTAAGATCATGGCAAGTTCTTCGTAAGATCTTCGTAAGATCATGGCAAGATATTCGTAAGATCATGGGAAGATCTTCGTAAGATCATGGCAAGTTCTTCGTAAGATCTTCGTAAGATCATGGCAAGATATTCGTAAGATCATGGGAAGATCTTCGTAAGATCATGGCAAGTTCTTCGTAAGATCTTCGTAAGATCATGGCAAGATATTCGTAAGATCATGGGAAGATCTTCGTAAGATCATGGCAAGTTCTTCGTAAGATCTTCGTAAGATCATGGCAAGATATTCGTAAGATCATGGGAAGATCTTCGTAAGATCATGGCAAGTTCTTCGTAAGATCTTCGTAAGATCATGGCAAGATATTCGTAAGATCATGGGAAGATCTTCGTAAGATCATGGCAAGTTCTTCGTAAGATCTTCGTAAGATCATGGCAAGATATTCGTAAGATCATGGGAAGATCTTCGTAAGATCATGGCAAGTTCTTCGTAAGATCTTCGTAAGATCATGGCAAGATATTCGTAAGATCATGGGAAGATCTTCGTAAGATCATGGCAAGTTCTTCGTAAGATCTTCGTAAGATCATGG